TCTCAGAGATAAAATAACGGAACGGACACTCATACTCTCCCTTTCTAGGTGATGCTCGCGCAATGCCCTAAGCCCTAGTCGCGTGTGGATAATCAATGAACAAAAAGACGCAAAGAAGACGTGAATCGATATCGATATATGTTGACCGGCCCTAAATGAGGCACGTGATGGCGTACCTTTCTGAATCACAAAATTTTCCTTCTTAATCTCCTTCCCCCACTACCGCTCTTCTCCACGACTTTCAGATTTTCATTTTCCCATACTAAAAGATGTCGACACCCACATTGTGGACGATTCCCATTCAGCCAAAGGGCAAGCCGGTACGTACAATGTGGCTCTGATTGATATCGATATCTGAAGATGTCTTACAGATCCGGGCTGCAGCTGTTATTGGAGGAGTTCCCTTTAAGCTCCCGGATGCCTACACACACTTCGATGATAATCTGAAACCTCCCTTCTTGGGCAAATTCCCCCACGGAAAGATCCCAGCATGGGAGGATGGCGATTTCTTACTGTTTGAGTGGTATGCGATTGCTCGATATGGTGCGTAATTGCGAATTTTTGTGATTCATTTTCATTTTCCTAGGATGAGATTCATTCATTCAGTTATCCCTGTCTTAACATCCGTGTCGACAGCATTTCTAATTCTCTGATTATTTGTTCTTCTCCGTTACGATGGATACTGATATCTTCGGTTCCCAGTCGCCTCAAAAGCTCCCAACTCTAACCTACTCGGCTCGACTCCAGAGGAAGCTGCTCAAGTTGACCAGTGGGTCCACCTTGCCGAGAGCGAAGTTGAGACCTACACCATTCTCATCAACCATGTCTGCAACGGCAAAATCGCCGGCTACTCCAAACCTGCCCACACCTACTTTCTCGAGAACCAACTCCGTGCTCTGAAAACTCTTGATGCTCACCTTGCTAAACACACTTTCTTCGTCGGCGAGCGCATCACCCTTGCTGACCTCAGTGTTGCTGCCTTCATTCAACGCGGCGTCAGCGTCAGCATCGACGCCTCTGTCCGCGCCCAGGTTCCCCATCTCATCCGCCACCTCGAGACTATCGTCAATCAGCCACAGCTGAAGGAGATCTATGGCCCCATCAACTACACCGAGAAGGGTGTGCAATTCGTCCCACCAAAGAAGGAGAAGGCTCCTGCTCCCCCCAAGGAGAAGAAGGCCGAGGAGAAGAAGCCGAAGAAGAAGGAGGTCGAGGATGACGATGCTGACGTGCCTGACGTTCCTCCCGAGCCCAAGGTCAAGAACCCCCTCGATGATCTCCCCAAGTCGACGTTCAACCTCGAGGACTGGAAACGGGCATACTCCAACAAGGACACCCGTGGAGCTGGTGGATCCCTCGAGTGGTTCTACCAAAAGTATGTACCATCTTTTTAAATTCATTTTCCTCCCCCCTCATGCTATTCTTCAGCTTCGATGCCGAAGGCTTCTCTATCTACCGCGTTGACTTCAAGTACAACGAGGAACTCACCCAGACGTTCATGTCCTCCAACCAGATCGGCGGATTCTTCAACCGTCTAGAGGCTTCGCGGAAGTACCTCTTCGGTTCCGTTGGCGTCCTAGGCCAAACCAACGACAGCGTCATTAGCGGTGTCCTCATTCTCCGTGGTCAGGACGTCGGCCCCGTTGTAGATGTTGCTCCCGATTGGGAGAGCTACAAGTATGAGAAGATCGATTTGAAGGATGAGCAGCAGAAAGCCTTCTTTGAAGGTGCTCTCGCTTGGGATTTGGAGCTCCATGGCAAGAAGTGGGTTGATGGAAAGAATGTATGTCTTTTCCCCTGCCCTAGCATTCATCGTATACTGATATCGTCGTCCGCAGTTCAAGTAGTCTGATATTTACCTTGATGGCTGTACTGTGTTGCTGCCGATCTGCGAGCTTTGAGATCTGAGAGGTTGTTTGACTAAATAATGAAAAGAGTGTAAAATATCCTTGAATGTCACCGGGTGCTGACCCGTTTATCTCTCATTCAAAGACATGACCGGAAGATATCCCGTTGACGCCCAAAATATCTTAGGACGACCATTCCTGAGAATATATTCGAGTTGTACTGAAGAATAGGCCAGTGTCGGAAATTCAGACGAAGTATCGAGTCAAGGACTCAGGCCAAATTGCATGATCATCGTGCTTGAGAAACCGAGAATTGTTGTAAGAACCTGTCATAAGCTAAGGCGAATCGAATCCTGACGTTGTATTCCAGCCTAGTCCGCTTTTCAGACTGTCAAAGGGCCGCAGGTGGCTAGTTTGAATCTCGCGAAAGCTTGTTACTGGAAGAAACCGGACCGGTATATCATTGACAAGACCGACATCCAGCTGGTGCTCCTCTTATATGCAAGCCTTTGCTCCGTACCGCAGCAACGTAATGAAATGCCGTCGAATAGAATAGCTTCAACGATCTCCCTTTGATACCGTTATCGGAAAAAACTCGGTCAGTCTGCCCTATCCCAATGCCAAAGATATCCTGAAGAGTATATTTGTCTTTGACATTCGTTCGATGTCATGTCAGGTACACGAGACGACGCCCATGTTGACCGGCAAGAGGAGACGAGCGAGCCTTACACTCACCGCGGCGATACCTGCATAAAGACAGCTTTCCTTCTGTAGCTCAAGGTGTGTTGCATACACCAGTTCCGTACAATGGCCATTAATCACACGTTAAAAGCCGATGTAATAAATAAAACATCCCGAGCTATTTCCAGCACTGTCCGATCTGTCTGTGAATTGATCATTTAACCACTGCGCAAGTGCCTGACTGACGCTACACGCCCGTGGGTTCAATGTGCCATGAAGCAACTTCAGTCGTAGGCACTCATTGAATGCGCTCGGTATTCAACATGCTCCATGCAATCACGCCGTCATCACCAAGGCCATCTGCCAGGAAGAAGAGTGCCAAACACGACGGCGCGATCCCACGGCTTCGCAGCTTGTTGATGGGCCGGGAGCTGCGGATACGTATGGTCATGACACAGAAAGGATGGTTCCTTCCATCGATTCGTCAACTAAATCTCTTACTACCTTTCCCCCGCTGCCACGATGTTGAGCGGCTTACCGTTATTTCTCCTATGCTTGTCACTCGTTAACATCAATGGAGGTACGTTTGGCTACCTTTGTCCTTCGAATGGGATGATAACGACCGTTCCTCTCGAAGTCCTCGGGCAGGGATTAACATCCTGGCTCTCCATCCTCCATCGCGATACCAACGCCACTTCCGCCGTCAATATCTCGTACATCCCCGATACCTGTTCCACCGATTGTAAAGTCCTCATTTCCATCGTTGTGAGTCGTGCATGATCGTTCTCCCGTGTTGAACTTGACAAGGGCTTCGTTGTGTAGGCCTGCGGAGATAGCATGGACTCTTGCCTTTGCTCCACCAACTACAATGCCAGCGTGTCTAATTGTCTTACCTGCTTCAAGAGTGCGGCTTCAGGTGATAACGAGGAAGCCATGCTCGAGGAGTTGGATGAGCGTAAGTACTAACAGGCCGTGTCGTCCTTGTTTTCGATCTTATCCTCACGTCAGTGTACTCCTCATGCGAGGTCACCGCTGCGGAGGCCGATGCCGCGACAACTGGAGGAATCAAACAAGGCGCTATTCTAGTGGGGATAATGATAACTACTTCGTGGACATTGATGTTTTGGCTTTGACTCTTGGTCAGAGATGTTATTTGGCGTTCGCTTATTCTTACCACACACTCACTTGATATTTATTCATGAGCGTCGTCCCCCAAATGACTCTTGATTTCTTTTTGGTGAAATGCATAAGCGAATGTTACTCCAAGGAGGTTCCTCCAGGATTGTTAGGCTACTGTTAGAAACCCATTTATAGCTCAGATAGAGACGTGCTGCTGACTTTGAACAAGCAGAGGACCGTCCGAGTCGTCTCTCGCATCATTTACCAGGCAGCAGCCGCACGCCAGTGTAAGTAAGTTGCCAGTACAATCTGATACCGTTGCTCGATTCCGACAATACTGAGATATCGTCTCATCTTCACTTGAAACGCCTCAGACAGCATGCGACTCTTCTGTGACACAGTTATTTCATATTTTACTATGACACTCGAGACAATTGTTAGAAAATGCAAAGTTCCTCTCGCTCAGCGCTTGCTGAACAAAAAAAACCATAACTTTCAGTGTCTTGACTAAACGTTTGATCATGTTCAAGCTTCAGTGAAGATGCATCCACACAGATTTATCTAAGCTAACGCAGTAGTAGTAAGTGCCGGCCATAATGCGCCAATGACTGGTGCCGGGCAGGTAGTTCACCACAACAACGTGTATATTCTCATTACGAAGTACACGCAGAGGTGTACGACGCCGTGTAAGTATGTAAACACAGATGTGCTTTATCAAAACCTTTCTTGGGGACGGGCTTGTAAAAAAAGAATGGTAATTCCTCCCTCCCTTGGAGGTTTCCTGCGTTGTAGAATCCATAATCTACTGTCTCCCTTTAGCATTAATATTAGACCGGAACACAGATCCCGGAACGGCGGTCTCAGAACAATGAACACTGAGCAATAAACTTTGCCCACTGCCCAGTGCTGCTTAGGGTTGCGCACGAAACCCCCAGTTTTGATACACCCCCGTTTCGGACCGGTAAGTTACCGGTAAGAAACTGGTAAGAAACCACAGGTCAGTGGTGCATATTTCATTGAGGTAACTTACCGACCACGTGACAATATTACCACTAATGTTTTTGTGATTTCACTTCGCAGAGAAGTAAGAAGTAGGAAGACGTAGCCAGAGAATTCATGAGTATTTGAGGTACAACAAAGGGGCAGCATAGCGTCACGACGTCGTACAGAAGAATTTGAAAAAATGGCTCCGCGGCGGTCACGTGAATTGTCACGTGACCGGTAAGGAACGCTAAATTACCGTATCGGTAAGAAACCCCCCGGGAGGGTGGGTACAAAACGGTATCAAACCCTCCCTGGAGGTTTCGTGCGCAGCCTAGTGCCGCTATTCAAAAACTCACAATGAACCTAATACTCTCTGATTGGGAATCGAACCCAGCTTTCGCGCGACTACAAAGAACAAATAAATGACAGACGCGCGTACTAACCAATATACTACCATAAACATATCGAGTCCCTCCCAACACGGCTATATTACGCTTGCACACAGGATTATATATTTGGAACTCGAAAGGCACTGATATTGTGTATGCATCTGTTCTGTATTCAGCGCCGTTGTGATCTTAAGACCAGCGTGTAGCATGTGCTAGCATATTCCTATCCCTGTACCTTGTCGTCTGCTGTTCTTCTATTACCATGCGTGAAACCACTGAACAGCGTTGAACAAGTGACCTGCACCAGTAGGGAATATAGTGGTTTGCAGGATAGCGGCAGCGCTAGGGACACCCAACTCGGACTACAGATGATGTGTTCAAGCAGATAAACTCAAGAACCCGATGTTTGTTGGCTGGTATCGATTCGAGCAAAGAGTAGCCTGCAGCAGAGGTCGCCACCAGTTCACGTTTCGAGTCTCGCCGATGCTGCTTACCATGCACGATGTTCAAATCATCCTGGAGACAATAAGCTCTGCCATACCTCGTCGCTACTTCTCTTTTTCGAGACTTTGCTCTGTGGGTATGTTGTGAGTATATTGCTCTTTGGCTCTTTGGCTTCGACTGATTGGGATAGCGGCAGAAGTATATTGGAAATTTTGTAAGACCACGGCGGCACGGCGGACCGCACCTCCTATGACGCATATCGTAGAAGCGGGCCGCCTAAATTAGAGTAGATTCGCGTCAACGTCCAAATAGACAGAAGGATATCCCAACCATCGCGTGTAATGTTCAATCTTGGTCGATATTTTGATAGGAATTCTAGGATGAGAATCAAAGTCATAAGCGCTAAATATTCTGAGAAGGATATAACGATACGAAATACAGTCACATTCGTCATTGAGTGCAATGCGCTTCCATCGGATCCTCCAGGTTTTCACCGCCATGATCAAAGTTATTAGAGAAAAGGGGTACTCACCCGATACCAGGCATGGTCCTCCCGGGGAGATACTTCTGGAGAATTTGCGGGTATGTCCTCGCCATTCAATTCAATCACGTACGTCATGATACCTCGGAGTTGGTGAACGGTGACTGGATGCAAGGTAGGTGGTTGGGTATTTGGAATTATCAAAACAGATCCAGAGATGGAGAGCGGTCCTTGATACCAGGGTGAGGCCTCGATTCAGTCCAGAATTTTCATCAGTATGATGACTCGACAGTGTTGCGATGACCGAGGACCAGCCTCGTTGGTGCCGTCGCGGAGAGAATAATCTTATCACGTATTATGCTGCCGCTCTAACACTGCAGATGTTGTTGATAAAACGGGCGAGTATGATATCGTGTAGGAGGTGGCCTGATAACAGCTCAGAGGAAGAATGGGAAATCGGCTTTAGACGGCCGACACCGCCACCCGAACCAACTTTTCTCTCTCTCTCGGCTTATTCCATCTGGACAACGGAGTGCACATGTCGTTGTATGAATCTCTAATGTAACTGGTTTCGACAAATGCAACAATGACCGACAATCATTAATGGATCTGATTTCTTCATAACAGTGTCAAGCATCGTCGCATCAGCGAGGGGTGGCCAGACTGAGCTGGCGCCGTAAGTAAACAGCTAGGTCTTTGTTTCAGCATCCTTCGAATTCATCGTTTCCCTCAGGAAAAAGGTAAAAGGGTGGTCCTCATCCCAGGATGAACCTTGCTGTGCGCATGATTGAAGCCTGCGGATGACTGGAGCTCATCAGTCGCCGGAGCAGATGGAGGCCGTGCCTATGGTTCGAGCTCGAGACTGCCTCGGACGATCTTTGTCTAGCGCATCATGCTACCGGCGGTGAACGATCCCTTAGTGATAGATTTGAGTTGGGTGATCATGTCGATCAGAAACAGGTCCTTGAAGTTCAAAGTCCACATGCCCGACATGGGCGCCTGCGCCCGCGATGCTCCGAAACATCTTGTGAGTAGTTTGCCATGCAATCTCGGTCGCCGATGAAATTCTGAAACATGGCTTGTAGAGTATAAAGCAGAATACAATGTGCTGGAGAGAATCACAAACACACCATTCTCCTTTACGGACTTCGCTACTTCTAGTTCTTTGACTGTCCTTTCATTATTCGACCGTCTTTTCGTTCTACCTTCCTTTACATTCACCTACACGATGTTCAGTGCCGCCGCTGTAAGTAATCTCCCTCTTGATCCTTATATCACACTAAAGTCTGTCTGTCTAGTTTATCACCTTCTTGACTGCCCTTTCTGGCGTCACTGCTCTGCCTTTCAGCCAGCTTGTCCGGTCTCTTCCCAGAGATATCGCCCATATTGCCGTCGACGAGGCAAAGGGACACTACCTCGCCTTCAAGCGTGATGGTTCCCTCTACGGGAGGTATCCGGTCGATGCAGAGACCAGCGGCATTGAGCGTCGGGATGCCAGTCAGTGCGCACAGCTGTCTGTCGCCGAGGCCCAAACCAGTAAGTGATTCTTTAGCCTCTACAATCTGATGTTAATCAATCAATGTCACAGTTCCTGGATGGAATGCCATTGTACAATACGCAAACTCTAACTGGGGATCTGGCTCACGCAATATCGTCACGAACCCTACCGATGTACCACCAGTTCTTTCTTCCTTATATTGATGATCTGACCATCATCGTGTTTAGTATGTCGACCGCCCTGCGCAAGTCTGTATCACAGACGATGTTGTCCAGCTGAGCTATTCTGGTTGGTTCGCAGTTATTTTGTTTTTCCTCGTTCTAACTTTAAGATAGGCGACCCGGTCTGCCAGACGCATACCACTACTTCTCAGGGAAGCCTTGTTGGTACTGAGGGTGAAGTCGACATCGAAGTTGACCAAGGCTTCAACAGTGATAGTTCTTACACCGTCAGCTGTATGTGTTCTGATCTCTTTTCCCGACTACTATCTCATTATCGAATTGGCATTTAGCTGCTTCGACACTTGGTGTTTCTAACACGCTGAGTGTTAAAATCGGCGTTCCGGAGGTGGCCGAAGTAACTGAAGCATTCACCGTCTCTGCCTCGGTCACGGATACGACGTCGAGCACGTAAGTGATCCCATACTCCCTGCTCCCGATGACTTCACTCACTTGGTCTGTAGTATCGATACATCTTACAACGACATGAGCAAAGTCACGATAAAGATGACTGCTCCCGAAGGCAAGACTTGCACGGCTGAGGTGCGTCTCTTTCAATCTTGTGATCATAAACGGCTCATTGAGACTTCCTCCTCAGACGAGCACCAAGACTTGTAACATTCAGGCGACGGGACAGATCCGCTACCTCGCGACGGGCTGGATTTGGTTCAACTACGACTCCGCGACTCAAGGCCACTACAAATGTTAGTATTCCTACTAGCACCTGGTTGCATGGTCTAATTCGTTTATTCTTCTAGGGGCTGTTAACATTGAAGCCGTCGTCACGAACCAGGATGATCGCTCGAGCTTTGCCACCTTCAAGGGTTCTATGGTCGCAAACACCGAGACCAGCTATGCTGGCAGTTGTCAGTAAATTTGACGTCACAGTCGGTGACTGTGCAGGTCCAGTATAAAGCCTCAGCCTTTGTACCACGTCAACTAACGAAAATACTTTCTCTTTGGTTATCTATCCAGCATTGATTGATCCTGTCTAGTCTTTTATTCATCATATTCTATAAACGACGAACATTCACTCTCCTTTCTAAAACTCATGTTTAGTTTACTATTTCGGTGCATAGCGGTAAGATGCTTCCTTGTATGATACCTTTATCAGATAGATAGATTATCATGTTTCGATAGCTTCATTATCATGATGTAACTGTCCAGCTGATCCAGAGGATACCGTTGTCGACATTTATGCGCTTCCAATACATTCCCTAATCAATGATATCATTCAATACAGCCCGTACTGATAGTTGCCTCCAAATTGAACCGGAGACAGGTAAAACAGGCAGTGAGCCGGGTCGCATGATGTCCGCGAGTCCCCGGGCGATGCTTCTCTTTCTTTCGGCGCTTCTTCTCTGCGTCTTTTACACCCATGACTCTATCCGACAGCGAGCGCGCAGAAAAATCCAGCATAGCTGGTTTTGCTAGGGCTGGGATCAACCAGTCAACTATTGAGAAATTCGACGACGAGTGTGCGAAGGGGAGGGAGTGGCATGATGTGATTGGGGTGTATGTCACAAGGAGTTTCAGCAACAGTGAGCACCGCTGAAATCCTGCACGACAGGAAGACGCTGACATTAATCACACAGTGAATGACGAGGAGCTGGCCTCCCTTTGTTTGGAAAGGTTCTCGTGCACGAGTAATCCATATCATCCATATTTCTTCGTTGTTCTGGACGAAAGAACGGCGAAAGACGGAAGCGTATCGTTGCACCAGCAGAGTGAAAATGGCGGAGACAGGATGTCTATCCGGGTCAGCCCTGCAACCATCCCATCACTCGTTGTATTACTGGATGCGGGAATGAAAGATATTCCTTACATCATTGCCAACGATTGTCCTGAGGACGAGAATGAGGCTAAAGTTTGGGTGTACGACGTAGTGCGTCGCCTTTCATCCATCTGTGAACTATACTGATGGGATGCATTACCAGCCTCTCGATTTTTCCGACATTCAGATCAATGTCAGACTGCCCTCTAACGAATTTAAACGACAGTCACCCGGCCCCGATGACGACATAGAAACCTTAAAAAAGTCTGGAATACGGTTGTCTGCAGACTATGAAGCGGCGAACGTGGAGTTAAAATGGTTTGGAGAAGCACCAGAAACCGTGTTGGTGCAGGGCTTCATTTCCGAGAAAGAGAACCGTATCTTCGTGACTGGGGCTGGTGAATGAACGTAAGCGGTCCGCTATCCCGGAGGTTGAAGGTGTTCTTGTTGCTGATTGATACACTTAGGACCGGGGAACTATGGAAAGGAGATGGAAAAAGAATGTCCGGAAAAGACCGCTAAGGCCCGTCGCAGTTTATGACGTGTTAAGGCTTTTACATTGTGATGTTACCTGTCCCTGTCTTGGACCGAAACTCAAATCATATCTGACAAATAGTACCCGTTGAATTATCCCAATACAAGTAGCTGGCTTGTCC